CATCACTTGCGCTCTGCCTTGCCTCTGTCACCGTACGTCACTGCCCTGGAGCCGACATGACCGACCAAACGCACCAGCCGAGCTGAGCTTAATTACCATCTCAACTGAGCCTATGCCAGTCCTGAAGGAAACGCCTTTACTACGACGACATCCATGGACACCATCATGGCGGATGCAGGTCTTCTGCAGTAAATGCAGAGAACACTGTTTAAATAGTGATATGTGTCTTGTGCTATAGTGGTTTTCATTAGCACGGTAACGAGGCACTGTAGCAGCGATGTTCTACCAGTAACCCATTTTTACTGTTAAATGCTTTTCCTACTGTAGTTCAGACTGTAGCAACTGATATGTACTGTTCAATGAAGATCCAATGGCTCAAAATTTGAGACAATGTAAAATACTGTAGATCCTCTGCATTTTACTCTTCAATGCAGAGGATCTCAGTCCCATCTTGGCACAAAAGAGGTACCTTGTACGTCTTCTTTGTTATCCACATGTAACTTCTATCAAGAGGTGGTTGTTCTGTTCTCTAATGCCTCCTAGCCCTAGCTATCATACTATTTGCACTACATGGATTACTATCGATCGTTATTGTGAGGTATCAATCATGTGATCAGTGGCTCAGTGCTATATATACCACAAAGTGACCAATTAGCATGGACTATTGCTTGGTATTTCACTGACTAACTGTCGGACAATATCAACGTGTGTACATGTATATCCTCTTGACAGAGCCCTCAATGTTGGCTGGCCTTCTTTAAAACAAACCTCGGAGCATGAATGACCATAGGATGCATATCTGTGCTTCCTAATTCCTAGGGTAGTGGATAATATAAGCTTTGGTATACTCTAGCTAGTTCTACCACCTACTTACTTTTTTTTCAATGTTTCCACAATAATTTCGTTAGAAATGAGAAGCTAAAAGGCAACCGCAATCAACAACAAGGATACATATATTTTGTGTGGAAAACACTTAGGAAAAAAAACTCAGGCGCAAAAGCGACGATGAATTGATCAGTGCAATTGGAGAGATACAATTGTAGGAATTTAGGGGAAGCGTTCCATCTGTATAATCCCATATATAGTATAGATAAAAACCCCATATCAATACAAAATGACTTAATTGGCATATATAGAACTGAAATTATGGCGTAACCTGCAGAGTGTCATATATATATAATGGTCTACTGGACGTTTCTGGAGTGACTCGCTCAGCATGCTGCTGTTTTGCCCTGAATTTATGCCATTCTCTATATTTCTGTTTATTTTTCTGAACTTTGGTCTGTAGAACATATTACCAAGATCATATTTAGTTGCCACATTTACAATTGACCATACCTCAAACTCTCAGTGCAACTGCAGATCAGGTACATAATATCTTATAGCTATGTGCCTACGTGCCAAAATAGATACTGATTTGAGCCTATCAATACAAGGAACAGTATTCCAGAGAAAAACACCAATTTTAAATTATCACCATAATTAAGCAGCGGAATTAGAATGTGTATAAAAATCCCCGATTGGATTAGCTGTGAAGAGTATATAGATTTAATAAATTAGACCTGAAGTTGCTAAACATTGAACTACTCTGAAACTCCCTCAGAAAATTGAAGGCACGAAACAAGGATCCATTATTATGTAGAAAATTGAAGCAATATTATCATAAAATAAAGTAATAGAAACAAACCATCATGTTTAACAATGCATAATAGATTTTCTTGTGTCACGGCAGCAAGCGAACATCCAGCATGTCCGTGCCAAAGCCTTTGACATAGGATGATTGGAACCATCAGCACAACCTCTTCGGTCCCTACTGCCATCAAGATTGCCCCTGCAACATGTACCACTCCAGTCCAACCAACCGAGCGCCTGATGCCATCATGTTACGCCAACATCAATCCTAGGCCAAATTTGCACTGCACAATGGCAGTTTGAAGATATGTGACATGCTAAACATTTTGAAAAATGTTTTGACATCAACACGCTCTTATGTTCTCTGAGACCTCCTAGTCCTACTATTTTGCACCAGAAGGATTATGAAGGCCATGAGATGTCAGCTGCCATTGCAAAAGATGCATCAACTGACATCTACTATTTGACATCTTTTGTAATGGCATCTACTATCTGACGGTGTGGCATCTACTATTTCACGGTGTGGCATTATATCCCCTCTCCAAGTCTTCTGAATGTAGAGTCCAACCTGATGCATACAACAAGAGGCTCCCAATTTATGATAGGATTTGTCAGCTGAGTGATTCGTTTGATCTGGTTGAACTGCAGTATATGCACACCAGTGGTTTAATTATGTACTTAATAGAGAGATGATCAGCAAAAGATAAAATATTTTAAGATGAAAACTCCTTATATACAATAGACATGTACTTGGAGACACGGTTTTAATTACTATGGCATCAACCAATATGCACAATCGTTGTATGTTTGTACTTTCCTAATCTTTTGATGTGTGCCGAGTGGTTTTGGGGTTACAACCTCCATAACTATCCAAGATTAAGATGTAAAAATGCAAAAAGCATAACAATAAGGTACGGCACATCTACGTTGCTGATGCCCAAGTCAGTGAGCACTCCCTCAGGTACTGAACAACTCTGAATATGCCAACTGGAATGGTACGGAAGTGGTTCCTCTTGGTTGGAAAATACAAGTCCGGTGAAAGTTAGACAAGTACTATCATGTAGGTTTCTCAGATGCCTCATGGTCCTACTATTTGCACTAGAAGATTATTGTGAGACGAAATTGCAGAAGATACGAGTTCACTACCATTGAATTTTTGATGGTACATGTATCTCCTCTCCAAGCTTCCAAATATAGAGGTTGGCTTGAAGCATCCATGCTCCCAATTTATATTTGGAGTCAACTAAAAGTAATAGTAATAAAAGTGTGAGCTGCAATGTTATTTATATCGTCAAGTTCAACTACAAAGCAAAGATGAACAACGGATCTCTACATATTCAATAATAAAATTTCTGTTAGGAAAACAAAACAGCCACTATTATTGCGTACAAGAGGCGGGTCAAAAAACCGTGTTTGCAGTATGTTGAGTGGTCTAGAATTCTTGTGCATCACAAAAAAATTATCATAAAGAGATGTGACAGTTGAGAGAGAGAGGGAGAGAGAGAGAGAGAGAGTTGATGTAGGAATAAATGAAATTGAGATTACTCCCTAGTATATGTAGGCATGATATAAACGAAATATGAAGATATCAACATCAAGCCATCCAAGTGCTGGAATACGACTTGGCCACCTATTACATTCCTGATTTCAGACGGCCACAAAATTTACATATGAGCTCCATTTTGGGTCCATTAGTATTTGATAGAAATCCCTTGGAGTACTCTTTCAAACGGATCCGGCGACGTCTCTAGAAACTATCAGAGTCGGTCTCACAATAACATAAATAAGGTGTTGCGCCACCAATAATGGGCTTATGGACCTGTAACTTCGTGTGGGACCATGGGCCAAGTGAGACCCATATGGGGTGCGCTCCAACCTAGTGGAGCACGATCCTATAGCCAAGTGGTACCCCTCCAAGGTTTCTTGGGTTTTACTTACATTAAATTTTAGGCATTGCTATTTTTTCGAGTAAAGTCGTAATCTGTTAGATCGTAGTTTTTCTTCTTATGGAACCCCAACTGAATGTTTGTGTTTAAATTCCTATTTGCAATTCAGATTGTTTTACCTTGTTTGTACTTGTTTCTTTGATTCGCTTGCGATAATAGGATTTATTTGCACCGGCGAGATAAAACAACCTGTGAAGAGGTGTATCGATTGCTTAGGCGCAAAGTAACATCTCGTATGGTTGTAGGCGGGTCATTAATGTTTCTCCCAAATTGTATTTATCGTCAACTTACCAAAAGGCCAATGAGAGCCGTGAGAGTGTATCGAGTGGAGCTTAGGGCTCATGACCCCCTCGCTGCAGAAACCTTCTATGATGCATACTCCAATCTCTAGATCTTTGGGATGATGCCCAAAAGCTTAGATAGGCAACATCTCAATTAGATCAAGAGTTGCACATGGAGTTGTGTAAAGTTAATTAAACTGCTGGTAGAGGAGCACACTGAGCTCGCCAATACTAATTAACATCAGTGGTGTATGTTTGCTCTTATACATGACGGTGAGAGATATGCGTGCCTCACATACCATTCACCTCACTCGCCATACGTGCCTTGCAACTCTTTCATGAAAAGTTAAATGTTGAGTTCACCTCAACACATTAACGGCAAGCGAGCGAGCAACATCCACCTTGCTGAGTAGCCGATGGATATAGTCTAAGACCACGGCATGGCTTGTACGTAGCCATATCATATCAGTATTCGTTGCTTCTGGCATGCAGGTCGAGTGGTTTTTGCTAGCTAGATAGGGCAGATAAGAAGATGTTGTTGTGAACATTGTGTTGCCTGGTTGTTTGAGCCCTCCAATGCCTGTTCTTATACGTAGTACTCCCTCCATTCCAAAATATATGATGCCGTTGACTTTTCGTATAATGTTTGATTACTTGTCTTTTACAAATAAAATTATATAAATATTATTTATTTTGTTATGACTTATTTGATTATCAAATAGTTGTACATATTTATACAAATTCGTTTTTAATAAGATAAATCGTCAAATGTTATGAGAAAAATCAACGGTGTTATATATTTTGGAACGGAGGTAGTACTACATAAGCACAAACTAAAAATTGTTTATATGAGAATGTGCAGCCGTCACCATAGATATGATTCGGTGCTATGGCATATTAGCACCATATAAATATTACAATCAAACATCTTCTGAACAACACACCAATTTATTTTCTTTGATAAAATCGCACACAAATTATTTGCTCGACTATGCTGTAGCAGAGATCTATGCCTCTCTGCAAAGTATCTTGTCACTATTCTGACAAGAGAGTAAAGCCTTAAATATAGCCTGGCATATATAATTATGTTCTTGCTATTCACTGTATGCACGCGCACTAATTAGTTATGAAAACGCGTGTGTATGCTAAGAGCTTGTACTGTATTTCTAACCAAAAAAAAAATGTTAACAAACCTAACATATATGCTAACTTGTGCCAACTCAACAGCCCCTACGAGATGACATGGTTTCCCATGCTCCACAGCATGTACCACGCCTAGAGCTAGAGGTAACCATAAGATGCAGGCCGTTGTGTACCTGACCTTGTGAGTGTTGTGTTGATCGATCACCATAGCATGTGCTCCACCCTGCCTCCATCACCATCTCTCACTAGAGCTGAGGTGACCATCTGACCAAAGCTGATAGCCTGCCTTGGTGCGAACGCCTTTTGGACAGCATCCATGGACTCTGTGTTGGTACAGAAGTGGTTGCTCATACTTCTTGTTAGTGCAAGTAACTTCTATTGGCAGAATGTATTTTTGTTCTCCGATTGATGCCTCCTAGCCCTGGCCGTACATTGCACTGCAGAGATTATTATGGTTGTTCTAAGATGCCATCGTGCCAGTGATATTTCAGAAAATAAGACGACATAAATACCTCAAAGTAGCTAATTAACATGGACTATTATGGCATGGTGTGTCACTGAACTGGTATGGCACAGTATCAACATATATCTCATCTTCAAGCTGCTGTCAGTGTTGACTCACTTTCTTTGAAAGAAGCCTGGAAGCATGAAAGACCACATGATGCATCTATGCTTCCTATGTATAAGCAGAGCAGTGGGATAATATGGGTTGTGAAGTTGCTATCGTCTCAACCACCAAAACGCACCAACTCACTTTTATTTACTGTTGGTACAATAATTTCGTTAGAAATCAGAAACCAAAAGGACATGATCAACAACGAGGATACATATTTTTATGTAAATATTATATACCGGTATCCCGTTCGGAGTAGGATAGAACGGTATCCTCTTCCAGTGCACGCGCGGATGAGGCACTAGAGCGTGTGTCGCATGTAGTTGTTAGAGTCGATGGGGAGCGATAGCGATTGCTATGCGGGTGGTGGCGATGGCTATGCGGGCGATGGTGATGCGGGCGAAGATGCAGCTTCCCGGTTGATCCCCACAATACCTAGGTTCTCCAACTCCATTGGATCGATTTCTTTCTTTCCCTATATTAGATTGCCTTCATCCTCTTCTCTTCGATTCCTCGGATATAGAACTTGCCTTCCGATCCTTCTCTTCGATTCCACCAACTTGCTTAGCATATTGATTAATTAGCCCTTGTCCACTAGTTAACAAGACAAGCTCGGTAGTTATGGATTTGGATTAGGAATTGGGAGTTTTTATATTTTGGCTATGCGGGAGTATAGTTAGTTGATTGTAGAGGAATGGAAGGTAATATTACAATGAATTATCTTTTGTGCTACATACTAATAAGTCTTCTTCTTGGTACTGGTGTTGGTGGATGAGAACAGGAACAGGAAGAATGAGGTGGAAAGCAGGAACATGGACAGCTATGGACTATGAAACGCAAGGTAATAAAAGCCCCATCTTAACCAAAAACTTACAAAAGCCCATCACGACTATGAAACGAATGGTAATTTGAGCTATATAAGCATACATTCATAGTACTAGTTGAACTTTAGAATTTCGATTTTGCGAATCACACTACCATATGTTGCAGGCAAAGTTAAATAGACAATAGGCATTCAGAAAATAGAAAATAACGGGTTAGTAATCCCTTCCAGTAGAAGTAATGAAGCATCTTCCAATCACTCCTAGGGCTGCGTGAGAGCAGGTGTTCATGGGTTAAACATGTGCCCATAGTGGGGAATGACCAGGGCAGCATGCATGCCAAATCATTTTCACCATGCAACCTAAGTGCGGCTCTCCGTGCTGGATGACTCCTCCATGCCTGCCACTTGCCCAGTACACATCGCCGAAAAAGCACTGTGCAGTCCAGTAGACCAACACAGCTCTCCGGACAATGGATGTCGCTCGACACCTAACATAGGATCTCAGGACATCACACCATGACAACACCCATGGCTGCTAACATGCGGGTGTACCGTTTCTTACCACTTCGCATGATATTGTCCAAAGATACCGCTATGATTATGGTGCTTCAAGGTTCTCCAAGTCCTCCTAGTCCTATATGTCGCTACCTACATGCTTGCTGTAGGGCATGTTTGATGGCTATGAGACCTTGGCGCCACTGCATATCAAATACCAACTTGGATGGTTTGTTGGAGTGGTTTAAAATCGGAGTGCATCGAAGTATTAAGTATATACCAGTACCTTCTTTCTTCTATATGGGCCAATTGGTTTCACTGCATCGAAAACTAGAGGCAGAGCCATGATGCATCCTACTTATAGCTCATCGTTTAAAATGAGATGAGTGGAAGTGTAGTTCATTTAATTTAATTCGATGACAATTATGCACACCAGCTTTAATTATTTGTATATTGTGTACGTGGTAGTTGGTACATGATATGTAAGAGGGCAAGGAGATTAATGATTCGCAACTGTACCGAAGTGTGCAGTGTTTGGTTAATTAGGAGTATATTGTACCGGACGGTACCACAGCTGCGAGGTGGCGTGCTTTTAATCACACATCTTGTTACCAAATGTTAAAAAATACATGTTACTTGGACTACATTTTACCAAATTTGAAGGCACACTGGCCTAATATGTTGTGATTGTAAGCCATATGGGCATAGCAATCTGCTACATGGATATCGCCAATCAACAAAATTCATATGGCACACATTTTAGGATAAGTGATCGCACCAACATCTCAAGTTAAGGTACCAGCTGTATATTTTACGATTTAATTAACTCATGACTCTTACACATAAGAGGATATGCAGGCACCATTTATCTTAAAGAATTACCAAAAAAGTTTTAGGGATCAATCCCTTGTTCCGACTGGAGAATTTTCCATACGATTTAAATCATCTACAGTTAATTCCTATGTTTTTTCCTCTGCTTCAATAGGACCTCTCCAGGCAACCTCATTCCCATAAATTTGTGCCATAATATTAGTTTTTACCAAATATTGATCCGTACTGTCTTTCGTGACTGTAGATGCATACTCTAACTTGCTTTGTAGTTATACCTTGTCCTCATATTTCTCAAATTAGGGGATATTGCCTGATCTGAGGAAGACGAGGACTACACTTACGGGTTGCTGGGAACAACGGTTATTTATATTTTTACCAAGTAAACATGAAGCTTTTCTTCCTTTTAAGTCTAGTAGTCTAAGTAGTTTCGTTGTTTATTAATCAACCTGTAAACTCTATAATAACTGGCTATAGTTTCTATGAAGTAAAGCCCAGAATTAATTCTATTATCTTAATTAATAAAAGGCTACAAGCGTGTGCTTTCATTAAGCCATCCCTGAACCCCCACATCTTTCTCTAGTACCTGTTCCTCCCAATATAAAAAAAAAACTAAAATAGGGGTGTGTCCCCTTAAGATTACTGATCTTAGTTTTTTATTTATTTTTGTTATCAGTTCTACTCGATAGAGTAGGTGGGGTGCCACTGCCATTGGGAATAATATCAGAGTACCACTGCCATTGGAATTGATCAGATTGCCGACATGGTAGACTGCCAGCACTATTGGAGTAAAGTTAAAAGAATATAGATTTTCATTTGTCTTGATAAGCTATAAGTGAAAATTTAACTCCAAGGATCGATTAATAACATAAAAATTATAATACCCATTAATCATTCAAACATTATAAATAATCCTCATTTTTGTAATTTAGTGAGAGTATGACAGAAGCGGACCAACATCTAGCACGCTCCAATTCCAACTTCCAAGCTGCCTTCTAAGAGGACCAGGGAACTTGGCACATTATGCACAACTGTTGTCCTTCCCGCCGTGCATCCAGTGTTGGAAATTTCAGTCATTTCGGTCACCCCCAATACGATATTATTTCGGCCGAAATTTTTGAATTTTTCAATTTTTTCATTAATTTGGGTAATATTTGTTCAAATTCAACTAAATTTTGCTCAAAATTTCGGAAATTTCGGGATTTCGGTGACCCCCGATACAAATGCCTCAACCGATAGAGTGAACCCTGGGTGCATCCACCACGCTGATGGTTCGCTGCTTGTTATGACGATTGGAAGCAACTGTCGACATTGATGTGCCTTGGCCGGCCGACTGCGTTTCTGATCAGCTTGGCAAGACCGCGTTCCTTCTCCACCGTGCTAACTACGATGACTTCACACTGATCACACATCAGACTTGAATTGCACTGCAAAATTGAAGTGTCCAGGGCAGGTGACATGCTGCTCAAGAGGTTTCTTTTGGATGGTCAATGTGATTCCGATTAGTGTGTTATGAGCAGGATGCTCTTGTTTTCACTGATGCCTCCTAGTCCTAGTATTTGGACTAGAAGATAAACAAAGATGGACAGATGGTTGAGGCCGGCAGGCATCTGGCATGCATGCTCCAAATTTGTAATAGAAAAACAAACTAACTAATGGAAGTGTGAGCTGAAAACTGAGGGCAAGATTTGATCTGGTTCAACTACTAGTATACGGTGCACATAGTTTTGTTGTACCAGCGATACGTGTGTCAAATGGGACACCTCATTTCTCGGATGTCAACCAAATAGAGTGTGTGATCGCCTCACCTACTTAAGCTACTAATGTCACCGAAGTCCTCTTCCACTCGTGTACTAATTAAACTACAACACACGGAAAACTTTAGTGGATCCAGCTTGGCATGGTTTACACGAACAAACTTTTCCGAACTGCGGGTTTATCTGTTCTCTGATGCATCCTAGTCCTATTATTCTGCACCAACAGATACAAAAGGTCCTAATAAAACGTTACATTGGTGCCATTGCAATAGATACAATTCGATGGAATTACCATGGACTATATTAGATGGTGGTCATGATGTATATATATCTATGTCCATTATAGTGTCAGGTTGAGCCAATCGTCAGTGCCTTTACCACATTTATTAAGAAACCGTAAGTGTACCATGTTTTGTTCCTACGACAACCAACGTAAAGTAATGCTCTTTACCCTGCACGTGGTCAGTACTTTGTGATCCTGATTGACAATGTCGGTCGACGTGAATAAGAGTATCGTAGAGAATAGATTAATTGTTCCTCTATTAGTGTTTATAAGTTATAACATTAACTTAACTTTGCTCTTGTGTTTAATGGTATTAGAGACACACAAGAAGGTATATCCCATATCCATCATTATTTTGTCCACAACTTTTTTTTACCGTAAAGAGATATTTTATTAATGACAAAACATAGGATTATATTCCTGATTTAACAGCTCTAGAATTTCAGCCGGAGCGCATAACCTCCACTCCGCTTCAACTCCTGAGGTCATAACCATCTGAGCTAACATATGAGCTATCCTATTTGAATCTCTCTTCACTTTATGCACTTGCACCTGCAGCAAGCATTGCATTGCCACTCTTATCTCGGCAATTATACCTCCCCATTCTGCTCTTGACGCTTGTGTTATATTCAGTCCAGCAACGACATCGGCATTGTCAGATTCAAGTATTATTGGCATATGTATCCAGTTCATCGCCAACCGAACGCCCTCCAGGAAAGCCAAAGCTTCAGCCAGGGTAGCAGAGCTGCATCTTGGAAGCTTCTTACAAGCTGCAAGAAGAACCAGGCCCCAGCAATCTCTGACAATTATTCCAGCACAAGCATCACCCGTCTCCTTCCTGAATCCAGCATCAATGTTTACCTTAGCCACACCTTCCGGTGGAGGTTCCCATTTAGCAATTTGCACAGCACTGGCATGCACTTTTTCTGTCAGTTCCTCAAACATTGGTCGCTTGCCCTTCTTGTCATCAATCTGTTGTCGGACAGGCAACATACATGCTTCATAGTTAACCAAGAAGTTGATAGAGACAGCTATAGGACTGGAATCAGCACCATGTACCATCTCATTTCGAAGATGCCATGCACGCCAAAGCATATATAACGTGTGCGCTCTCTCAACTTCATCAGCTCCATCCAAGAGCAACAGTAGCCGATCCGGTCCAGTTCTAGCAACTTGATTTCAGGAGGTAATCGCCAAACCTCTCTGATAGCCTCTCTAAGTGCTTTTGCTTTTGTGCATTCAACCGTTGCATGAAAACCATCCTCCTCAGCTGATCCGCAAATTTGGCAGATACTTTGTCTTTCAATTTTTCTCCTGCACTTGTTTACCCAAGTTGGTAACCTGTCAAGTGCTAACTTCCAGGCAAAAATCTTGATTTTAGCCTGTACCCTTGTCTTCCACAGAGCCAACCATAGTTTCCTTTCCCCTGATGTTGCTGTGCTTGAAGATGCCTCCACAACATTTTTAGATAGGTTCCAGGCCAACCTGTAAGCACTCTTCACAATAAATAACCCTGTTTTTTCAAGATGCCAAGCAGGGAAATCTTCAGGTTGTTGATTGGACAGCCTAATCTTTAAAACCTCGTCAGCATCTTCCTTGTGCATTACATGGCGGATCAAGTTCTCATTCCAGCTTCTGGAGCCTGCATCCATTAGATCTTTAACATACATTAATCTATTCCTCACCCTCTTTTCCAGAGTTATAAGCCGGTCATCCCATTTGTGTCTCCAGATCTTGATGTTATCACCATTTCCAACCCTCCAAATTATTCCTTGATATAATGCCCTATGCTTAATGGACATATATAACAAAAAGAAGAACGTAACATGAACTACGATTTGGAATGTCAATTACGTAAAATGCCCTATGGATTGGGTATCAATTAGATGGTGCGTCATTGGTGTGATATGTGTATCTGTCTTCAAAGTTGCCTTTAAGGTTTGAAAGATGGCATGCCTTTTTGGAATTGTGGAATTAAGTCTACCACATGAGTGGTTTATGCCTCTCATTTATAAAGAACGCACGTCAGGTTCAACCACAAACATAGAACTTTATTGTTATTAAGTGAGTTGGTACAAGGTGGCTGTTGGAATTGAAAAGTCTGGAGGCAATTTTGAGTTGTGACCAACAGTAAAGGAACCTTGCATATTTTGTTGTGCAGTACTAGCTTATTAATGTAAAAAAAAAACAGAATATACTCTTTTTCCCTCAGTTTTGCTTGAATATTCCCGTTTCTAAGAGATTTGGCAAAAATATGCTGTCGTCGCGTTACAAAGATGCGAACTCACGACAAGTCCGCGTCATGTGGAAGCGAACTTTTAATCGTCATGATTTTGCGGACGGAAGCAGCGAAGTGACTAGCGAACACGCGGATGGGAGCAGTGAGGCAGGCGAGTTCCGCGTGAGAGTTCGCTTGTACTGCATGCGATCGTGCAAGAAAGAAAAAAAAGGCCTGATTAGTTTGCTGCTACCGTCCACGAATAAATCGAGAGAGGAGATCATAAGTTCGCTTCCTCACTTTGCGACGAGTTCGCATCTTTCACAGCGCCACCACGGTATATTTTTACCAACTCTTTTAAACCCCGTATATTCATGCAAAACGATAGAAAAAGTTACATCTTCATTTTTTTTCTAATTAATGCAGCTAGCTATTGTGCGCATTGATACATTAATTCAAGTTCATGGTTTAATTATTGCATTTTTGAACATCAGGTGACATATATAATGCAACAGTTTAAAACGCGTTGGATAGAAACAGACTACTTCCTTTGTCCAAAAATAAGCTGATTTTCAACCTGCCATCATACTCGTGACCCGCGCCAAGCTTGCTGGTAACATGCAGCGGCACGAGCATAGCTTTGCTCCCTGGTTTCTGTCATGGTCGCTGCTGAATTTCTGATATGAACAATCTTTTGCCTGATGTATAGCTCCTGCTGAGCTGATGGTCTCAGCTCAGCCCGTGATCCGGCCGGCAGTGCGTGATGCCAATGTAGCATCCATGGACACGATGGTGGCACCGAAGAGGTCCCTCATCATGCTTGGGAGTAACCGCGAAGAAACCTTTATGAGAGGCATCTGGATGTGTTTCACGATGCCTCCTAGCCTTAGCTGCAGTGTCTTGAGAACTCTCGATGGGGCGCAATGGTGGGCACATATGGTTATAGACTTGTCGAATGTAACATGTGTGAGAGGCTACTTATAACTTATCCCACTCACAATTTTTTTCTGGTGCGATCTATGGATTACTTCCTCCGTTCCAAAATGTAGCTACCTAGTATAGGATGTGACATTATCTAATACTACGAATCTGGACAGCCTCCTGTCCAGATTCGAGTAATGTCACATCCTGTATAGATAGCTATATTTTAGGATGGAGGAAGTAGAAATTAGTGAGATGTAAAAACTAGCTATAATCGATTATCATTATTTGGCACTACTTCAAACCCTCTTCTAAGTCGTTCTCAAGGAAGACGAGCCTTCTTTGTATTTCGGATGCTATAGTACATATTCACATGAGTTTCCTGCCTCCCCATTTACATGTAATATATTGCATGCGAAAGCTTGGCGTTGTACATTTGAGGCTCCTTAAAGGACAACATGATTCTAAAGAATTTCTTAATTACATTGTGTTCTCTGATGCTTCCTTGTCCTATACACTATTACAAGTGATTTTTCTGTACGAGACCCCATGATTTTTGCAAATGGACCATAACTAGTGGCGCCTGCAAAAATCGCGCGGCATTTTCGCAAACGGCTCCTTAAGAAGCCCGTATGGAAAAATCGATTTTCCCATACGGGTCTCTTAAGAGGTCCGCATGCAAAAATGATGTCATTTTTGCATGCGGCTCACTTAAGCGCCCGCATGGAAAAATCGATTTTTTCATGTGGCTCACTTAAGCGCCCGCATGCGAAAATAAAATTTGAAAAATTTGAAAATTTGAAACTAGTGTATCTCACTCATACGAACTCCAAATTGGATGATTCTTTTTCCTAAATGTTTCTAAAATCATGCTCTATCATGTTATTGTGTTCTTACTGTTATTATTTAGGCCATTTTTTCTTGTGACTTTGTTTTATCAATTTAAAATTTAAATTTCAAATCTTCAAATAATATTTTGAAGCAGTAAACGATTTCAGCTGAAAAAGTCAACAACAACAAAGTTGTATAACTTATCAAGATTTATAATTTCTATTTTGGTCATTTCTTCATTTGACAAAGTGATACTAACATTTTCATAAAATTTACATCTCTCTCTTATAGTTTATAAAACTATATAATAGATATGTACATTCTGTGAGTAATCTTACAAATCATTTTGTCGGATGAATAAATGATCAAAATAAAAGTTATAGATATTAATGAGTTACACCAATTTGTTATTGATGATTTTTTCAGTTGAAATCATTTAGTATCTGAAAATGTTGTTTAAAGTTGTTATAATTTGAAATTCAAATTCAGACTGTTCAAACAAAGTCATATAGAAAAATGACCAATACAAAAGTTGTAGATCTTGATAAGTTATACAACTTTGTTTTTGATAACTTTTCCATTTGAAATCATTTACTACCTAAAAAAACTATTTGAATTTCTTATATTTTAAAATTCAAATTTTATATAGTTCAATCAAACTCGGATGGAGAAATGACCAAAAGAAAATTGGTAGATCTCAACGACTTCTACAATTTTATTTTTGACAACTTTTTCATATGAGTTTATTTAAGACCATAAAATTTGATTCGAAGTTCTCACATTTTTAAATTAATTTTTTAATGATTATTTTTACATGCAGACCACTTAAGGAGCCGCATGCAAAAATCTATTTTTCCATGCGGCTCCTTAAGTGGTCCGCAAGCAAAAATATCAACAGTTTTTTCAGTTTTTTCCCTCCTTACCACTTCAAAAATTTTCATCTCCCCTCCTCTCCTCTCTCTCTCCTCTCTCTGATATCCTCACCCCTCTCTTTTTCTTTCTCTTCCTCTCTCTCACTCTCTTTCTCTTCCTCTCTCTCTTTCTCTCCTTTACGCGTGGCCAACGAGGGGGCGCCGAGCAGCGGGCGGCAGGCGGCGTCGAGCAGCGGGCGGCGGGCGGCGCGGCCGAGGAGCCGGCGCCGGGAGCAGGCTGCGGGCGCCACGGCAAGGAGGAGGCGGCGGGCGCCGCAGTGAGGAGGAGGCGTCGGGAACGGGCGGCGGCGGCTCGGCTCGGCAGCCGACAACGACGACGGCCGCGGTGGGAGCGGCGACGGCGGGCGGCGGGAGCGGCTACGGTGGCGGTGGCTTCGCAACCTTGGCTCGGCGGCCGACAACGACGACGGCCGCGGTGGGAGCGGCGACGGCGGGCGGCGGTGAGCGGCTACGGTGGCGGCAGCTTCGCAACCTCGGCTCGGCGGCCGACAACGACGACGGCCGCGGCGGGGGCGACGGATCTGATGCCGCCGCCGATGGATTCGGCACCAGTGACGACGATGGGTGGCGGGGGCGATGGATCCGCCGCCGGCGACGACGCTGGGCGGCGGGGGAGACGGATCCGCCGCCGACGATGACAGCCGCGGTGGGAGCGGCGACGGCGGGCAGCGGGAGCGGCTACGGCAGCGGCGGGCTCGCAGCGGGGTCGCGGCGGCGGCTTGGCAACCTCGGCTCGGCGGCCGCCGACGACGACGGCCGTGGCGGGGGTGACGGATCCGATGCCGCCGCCGACGGATCCGGCACCGATGACGGCGGGGGGCGGCGGGAGCGATGGATCCGCCGCCGGCGACGGCGTGCGGCGTGGATGCGGCGTTTCAGTGACGGGCTAGGGTTTGGTTTGGGGATTTTTCGATTTTATTTTTTTGTTTGCTCAATTTATTTTCGCATGCGGCCGGTATAAGCGGTTGCGGTTGCGCCGGCCGCATGCAAAAAGAATGATTTTTACAGACGATTTCGTGCCAACCGCATGGAAAGATGGTTCTCAGCCGCATGGAAAAACTCTATCTGTAGTAGTGATAGTTTTTGCACTAGATGATATGGGATGGTTAACTACTAGAATCCCATGGCTTCCCTAGGGTTAATAATAAATCCCTATTGGGCTGTGTACATTTATTTTGGATGTAGAGCTGTTGAGGCCAGATTTTAATCCATTCCCTGAAAAAATAATGATCCCTATCTGCTAAAGCAACTCAAGGGAATCAAAGTATCCATAGGGTGCAGGTATGGGACGCAAGGGAAATAAAGACTTTCTCGAGTCCAAGGGAGCCTTTCATGATAAGGACATAACTTTGTGCCACATCAGCTTTGGAACAGAGAGAGTATCTTCTTGAGATTTTTTTCACCACTTGCAGGCTTCCGCTCTCCAAGTACAAAATTTTAGCCCATTTATTTTTGCACCCACCTTATCTGCTCAAGCAAATGCTATGCACTCATTCTCCCCTCCTTTCTTCTTTCATGCAATTGGTAGGCATGTCCATCCTCACCAGCTGCCCAAGCTCAATCTTTGTCGACTGACTGATATGGCGAGCACTCAACTACTGCCGCTCCCAACGTAGCCATTGGAGGGGTCGCCCCCAATGCTGCCGTTGGGAGCTGCCTCTGCTGTACTACTCTGTCCTATATTCTTTCTTGTGGTTGTTAACAACAACAAAATGGTTATTTAAAAACGTTTCTCTTTAGACGTTTATAAATGCGTCTCAATTTTTGGAGCCACAGGGCCATGTAGAGATGTTCTGAAGCCGCTTTGAAGAAACGCCACACAACAACTTATTCAAAGACACTTTTTGACGTCTTAATAGTGTGCCAATGCTGATAACACAACCTTTTTGTGGCCCAATGAACGAAAGCCCACCAGTGGCTCCTCTTTTAGCAGTCCACCCAATTTCCCCGTCGGACTTTTTACCCTAACTCCCTAAGAGCAGGTACAATAGCATGCTATAAGCCAGCTATAAATATATTTTAATAAGATAAAGAAAGAGAGAGAAGAGCAGCGGGCTACAGATCTGTAGCCAGCTGCAACACGAACTCCAAGATATAATGTGTGTATGACAGGTGGGACCAGGTATTAATAGTATAATAAGCAACTATTGTATAAATTGGCTATTACATTGGCTTTAGATGAATTGGAGCTAGCAGTGGGCTATACTATTAAACTTGCTCTAAGACTCGATGTATGCGCGTGCGTGCAGTTAGATGCAGCGGCGGTCATGGCATTCGTGACCTGTGAGGGCCAGATCTGGCGATGGCTTGATCCGACGATGGCTGCGGAGACGGGGACGGGGACGACTACTTTATCGGCCTGATGCAGCCGCTGCGGCACTGGTAATGGCCGGATGCGGCAGATACCGCGGCTGCTCCGATGCAGGCAATGGGTGGTGCGATCTGGATGCGGTGGTGCCAGTCACACGAGCTCCATGTTGCACCATTGGCAGCAGGTGCACAGATGAGTGATACGCCAGCAACCCGCTGTTGCGCAGGTGAGTTTAAGTCATGCTAGTGCGGTATGGTTGGGATTCATGTTTGATTGTTACTCGATTAATTTATTTATGGTTGCTAGTTCTCTGTTATGTTAATAGATGGTCGACATTCTAAACAGGAATTTGATTATGTCATGGTTTGACAAATTTTGGTGGCTGATGCCACCAACAATTAAGGTAGAGTTTATCTGCTGATAGAATGGATGCTTAAAACGTCAAGGTATAATCATCTTGACTGTTACTGTTTTTTTCCTTTTGATTATCACGCAAGGTTAAATACTCTGGTGTAATACTATGCATTCTTAGTTCAGAAATAAAATGGAAGTGCCTGTTCACTCGGAACGTTTAGGAAGCAAGTTTTCCCACCTAGTAATGAACCATAAGAGCAGCTGTATATCTGATCTCTGATTCGCTATATTTTTTTTCCTCTGTAGTCATGAGCAGAGCAACTGGTCAATGGTTACAGTTACAGAGGGTCTACAAAAAGGGTAGAATGATTCGCTACAAAGTACATTAAACTATTTTCAAATGTGTGTCCAATCCTCACATTTAATTTTTTTCTGTCCATAGTCAAAACTGTAGAAATTCTTAAAATTTCAAATTGTACTGTTCAGAAACCTTACATGGAAAAAAAAAACCCAAGATGTCAAGCAGTGTTATTCAACGATGTTCATTGCTGCTTTTAATTATTTGGAAGAAGTCTACATAACCCCACCAACTATCACAGGGTAACTGCTTAACCCCCTCAACTATCAACCCATGTATTAGACCCCCTCATCTTTCTAATACAGTTTAATTAACCTCCTGAGGTGGTTTTAGAGGGTTGTTTTTGCCAGGTGGCGTGCTGAGTTGGACAAGCTTCCTGTGTTAGAGCAGCTCCAACAGCATTATGGAGTATTGACAAATCTACAGCATTACATGAAGTTGGGGAGCTATGCACCAATATCTGTGTGGAAACTTAGCAGATGTATTCCATTTAGTTAAGAAAAACCTTCTGAGAATTTGTAGCATGTCCAGTGCATTTGCACTTTAATTTTGATGTACTATTCAATTGTAAACTCTTGGTTATAAATAAGATTATTGCCAATTCTCCATTGCTACGCTATTTTCTGTTTGACATCCAATATAATTCTGGAAAAAGGGACAGATATTTCTGTCTTGATATATAAAGTGTTCAATAAAAATATTATAATCTTTCGTGAAGCGCACCAAAAATGTTTTTACTATAATAGAGACAGTAAAGCACGTATCCATGATATTTGTAGGGCCTCAAGACTCTCAACAGGGTGCTTCATTTGTGGTTGAGACGCTTAAAGTGTCTATATGCTTTTGAAACGGTCTCAACAAATACGTTCCTATGACGCTTTGAGAAGGTGTCTTTGTAACCATATGAAGACGATCTAGAACATCTCTATTGTATAAATAAAAGGGTTAATTGGATCCATGCCACTGCAATTTTGCCATATTAAAAAAATACCACTACTATTCACGAAATCTGCTGAGTGCCACTGGAACTTTGTAAAATTAGATCCATGCCACCGCCGTCGCATTTTCCATCCATCACCGTCACTCCAATGTGGGACCCACACGTCAGCTCCATCCTCTTCCTCCATCCCCTCTTTTCTCCCTTCCCCATCTCTCTCCGGCGAACAACAGCAGCAGGTGACCGGTGGTGGCGGCAGCAGCAGCAGCCGGCCGACAATGGCGGCGAGGGCCACGAACGCCACCGCGGAATTCCCAGACCAGCGATGGCGGCAAGGCCATCGCCACCGCCGTTGCGTCGTATCTTGTGTCGGCTTCCGCCGCTGCGATGTCGTTCCAGAGCTGGTCCTGGTGTAGTCCATCTGCAGCTGGCTCGCCGGCGTGGTGGCCGCCGCCAGCTGGTCGACGTCCTCTTCGTCGCCGCTGCAGCAGCTCGCCGGCGTGGTGGCCGCCACCAGCTGGTCGACGGCCTCTGCGGGCTGCTGCTTTCTTGCAGCGCCGCCCTCGTCATCGTCGTGGTCGTCGTCGGCGTGGTGGCTGTCGTCGTCGTGGGCCAACTCGAACAGCAGGGCCAACGATCGTATGATCAGCAAAGAACATCTACGTGATTGCAAATCATCAAAGCAAATAAGAGATTGGACCTGGATTTCTTGGCGGCGGTGAGATTTAATTTTTGGTGTTGGGCAAAGAGCTGCGGAGCACGAGTCTTTGGTGCAGACAACTGTGAAGGGCGCGGAGCTCGATCGGTGCTGCCGCCGGCCACCTGCTGCTGCTGTTCGCCGACCACATGCTGCTGCTGTTTGCCGGAGAGAGATGGGAAAGGGAGAAGAGAGGGGATGGAGGAAGAGGATGGAGCTGACGTGTGGGTCCCACACAGGAGTGACGGCGATGGATGGAAAATGCGACGGCGGTGGCATGGATCCAATTTTACAAAGTTCCAGTGGCACTCAACAGATTTCGTGAATAGTAGTGGCATTTTTCTAATATGGCAAAATTACAGTGGCATGGATCCAATTAACCATAAATAAAATGTCTCCGGCCCCAAGATAGTTTTGTTGTAGTCGTATCTGAAATTTTCTTGCCCCGATGATCCTTCTACTCCCTATCTTGTTAATTTGTAGAGCAAGTGCCAGGTATGCCACTGATGGACAAGCATGTGCTGCCTTCCCCACCTCCATCCACGGGTGGAATTGGGCCAAGGCTAGGGCAGCTTAGGGACAGCCCCACTCGTAACAAAAATTTTAGTGGACTAGTAATCACATAATTTTCAAATTTTTTCAAACCCCACGACCTAGCCTTACTTCTATGGCCCAACTCCACACATAGCTTGTTTCAGCCCGAGATCACCCAGAACTCCGCCGCGATGCAGATGGTGGAATGAGAATATATAATAGCAAGTAAATGTCTAGTGGTTTAATTTGAACTGAGCTCGTACCTGTTGATGTTTTACTCCCAATCTTTCTATGATATTTTTTTATTTATTTAGTATATGCTCATTTACAGATTATCTTGATTTGAGACTGTTTTTTATCTGTTTTTTAATATCTAAGGACAGGAATTATTGAAGAACAACAAAATTAGTTCAAGTCAGTGCTTGCCGTCCAACTTTTTTCTCAAACCTGACATTCTACTGTTGCAGCAAGATTAGTATCGAGTAGTTACAGTCATTCAGAAGCTTGTGTGATATTTTTTCTTCCTAATTTTGTTTGGTTTTGCGTGGGATGATAGCCTCAAATCATTAATTAGAACCTTTCAGGCGTGTGAATGTGAGTTTGTCTGTGTCATGTGCTCATGTGTTCATATTTAGAATAGTTAGCCCAATTTTCAGCTGTACTGTATCTAATTTCATAATTAAGGGAATGCTTCTTAAGGGAAACAAGGGGACAAATATGAAATTTGTTTTTTTAATTTACACCGGCTGTATGGGCATCCAAATTTCTAATGATTCGGTACTACTAATGACCTGTACAGCCTTCTGAATCATGAACATATCTGTTGTAAAGATGAAAAGTTATGATTCAGTCCTATCACCGTTCAGCATTTTTTTTCTACACTTGCAAGGAAGACACATACATAGTTACATACCACCACACAATGGCAATGCTTATAAATCTTTTTTTCAATCTCGCTATGTTTTTTAATTTGGCTAGTTTCGCCATAAATGTTAGAGTACATGGTAGTTAGAGTCATATTAGGATAGGATTGATTTATGTGGACTTCTTCTATATCTGTAATCTTTCCTTATCTCCTCCCATGTACTCTAATATATACTGGCCCCCGAGGCGCAATATAATTGTTCCACGTTACACAGTATATCTCTCCTATACTATCCAACATGGTATCAGAGCGGGCGATCTAATCGCCTCTCTCTCACGCTTCCGCTCGTCGCCCCTGGGAGGGTTCTGATCTCCGGGGGCGGCCACCGTTTCTTTTTTTTTTCTTCTTTGCGTCGTCATCGTCGTTCTTCGTCAAGCAGCAAGCAGCACATCGTCCTCCACCTCCGTCGTCCTCCTCGGATCAGATCTCGCGTCGATGATGGGCGCCCTCCGCTGGCTACTGGTCCTCTTCACTGGCATCCCCGATCCCGTCGCACCTGACCGCCAGCCCTCCCGGATCTGGATCATCGGCGGCGCCGGCCACCACCACCACCTCCGATCCGATCTGCTCCACCGCCACCGGCGCTCCGGGCGGACGGCCACCTCTTCACCGCGCCACATCCTCAGATCGTATCTGAGGGACCCCGTCGCCTGCCGCCGCCGACCTCACCACCTTCAGATCCACGCCGTTCGTTCGCCGGCTCCTCCTCCGGACCACGGCCGTCGTCCGGGGGGACGAGCTCCCGTTCGTCGTCTCCATGCCGCGCGTCCTGCAATCCGCCAGGGCGCTGGCCTCGCCGCCTCGACGTCCTTGCTGGAGCCGGTGGTGTGGACGCAAGTCGACGGGCGGCCGGTGGAGGATGCCGAGGCCAGCGCCATCGGCGGCCAGGAACCCCGTCCGCCACCGCGTCCACCCGGCTGCACAGGCCCCGTCTCGTACGGGCCCTCGTCGCCGGCGCTCTCCACTACCTCGACCTCTTCGCGGAGCACTTGCGTGAGATTGCCGTGGTCGGTAATCAAGCTGCCCGCTCTAATCTGTTTTGTCTCCATCTGCTATGATCTTGCACGTGGCAAGCAAGTGAGGAGATAGAGACGAGATGGGTGCAGAGTCGTTTAGCATGTTGACCGGGTCATGTGTGGCATTGGAGGATTCTGGATGCTACTGTTGCTGCTGTACCTTTGTCCTTTTTCCCGTTCAGAGAACGGGTTTGCGTCGCCCACCGTCTCGTCGATATCCACGCGTCTTCGACATCGGCATCGACTCTGCTTCGACTTCATCGTTCCGTCTCGGGCATCTTCGGCTTGATCACTCGTTCAAGCGCCCGGCTACAACGACTTCTGTAACCGATCGTCATTGAGCACGCGTCTACGCCACCAACCTTCGGGTTGCCGCTGCGTCGCCCCATTGGGCTGCAGTGTCGCCGCCCGTGGTCCACCTCCACCGGTTGTTGGAGTTCTCGCCGCTGCATCGACATCGAGCCGTACCTGTGTCGCCCCTTCAGGTCACAACGTTGCCCCTCTCGTCGTCTTCATCGTCGTTCGCGCTTCGACACCCTCGTCGTCCACACTGGTCATTGTTAGCCACTCGGGTTGTAACGCCCCGATTTTCGTTCGGGATTAAAAATCAATTAATAATACATCTTCTATAAATTAAATAAAAGTTAAATCAATTTAATCAAGTGAATTATTGGGAGAATTAAAATTTTCCCTTAAAAATCATTGGCCGGGAATATTTTGTAATATTCTTTGTGCCCTAAAATACTCTCCGGAATTTTCCGTGAATTTTCGGAGCTCAAGAAATAATTTTAATAGCACAAATTTCATTTAATCAATTAAAATAAAAAGAAAACAATTAAAATCCTCCTTCCTCTCTTTGGGCCCCTTCCGGCCCAACCCCTCCTTTCTCTCCCGCGGCCCGCGCGCCCCCTTTCTCTCCCTCTCGGGCCGGCCTCCTCCCTCGGCCCGCTCGGCTCTCTCTCTCCCTCAAGTCTGTTTTGCCTCCCCAGCCGGCCTCTCCCTCCCTCTCTCTCCGACAGGTGGGACCCGTGGACCCCACCTGTCATCCCCAACCTCAGGCCGGCAGCTGCCGTTGCCGCCATGGCCGCCGAAAACCGCCCGCCGTCGCCGGTGACTGCGCGCCGCCGCCCTCTATGGTCGGTCGGGCCAGCCCCGGCTGTGCCCGTGCCCGGCCACCGCTCTCGTCAGCCGCCCGATCGGCTTGGGCCGATCTGGGCCGTCCATCCCGTGGACGGGTGGTGGACCGCCCTTGTGATCCCGGTCCATGGTGGACCAAGCCCCCTTGAGCCGCTGACGCCTGGGACCCACCTGTCGGCGCCGGCGCCCCTTGCTGACGTCAGCGGCAGTCCTTTTCCTTCGTGAAAATATTTAATAATTGCGCAATAAATCATTAATAATTATAGAAATCCATTTAAATGGCTCAAAACTTCTAAAATTCATATCTAATTCATTCGAACTCCGAATTGAGCCATTCAACTTGCAAAATTCATCTAAAATTGAGCTCTACATGTTTGTTTAGTTTTTATGTACTGTTTCCTTGGTTTTTATTAGAGTTTTTCCTCGTTTTGCGTGCCAGCGTGTAGAATCCGTCGTTTCGGAAGTCCGCGGTCGCGAGGAAAAGAGTTCGGAAGATCAAAGTGAAGAAGAAAGGCAAGTCACACATTCCCCTTGAGCATGTTGTTCCCAATTTATAAATGTTTTACCGTTTGCAAATAAATATGCATGTTTTGCTAATTACACGGGATCAGGGTTTACCTATCTGCTCGCTTGTGCCATGTTTACTTGATATCTGTCCTTTGTCAGCCGTGGGTAATAAATCGCCTAGCTTGTGTTACTTTGATGACCTAGCTAGAACTATATGCTTAGCCATGCTTAATTACCACTAGCTCAGTCGATGGGATAATTGCAGTATTAGACATTCTAGTATCTTGTTGAGCCGCGTGCTCGAGACATCTGGCCATGTTTTATGGTCGTAATTATCCAACTAAAATGCGACTGAATGGTGGGCTGTGGGTGCATGGTTTTGCGAGTCGCACCCATGGCAATTAAGGACCGGTTCACGGGAAACCCTGGAAGACTTACAGCGCTTGCCACAAGCGGGAGTGGGTAACTGCTTGATCTGAAGTATAGCTCGACCCTTTCCTAGGCACCGGTGGCGAGGGTGGGCGTGATGGAGTTGGGTCGGCCGGGGTGTCCGGTTGTCCAGCTGCCGGATTCACCGCGGCGCAAGAGGGGACCGCCCACTGCCTTTTGAGGGGTGGGGGTGAAATCTTAGCGTGGTGTGGATGGTTAGGGGAGGGTTATGCGAAGGGTCTCGTCACAATCACTCGACATGGTGACATGGGCATCATGGGCACATGATGACGCGGTGACATGTCGGTGGGTTGTGTCTTGTGGGTACAGTTGTGCACCTCTGGCCAGAGTAAAACTATTCGAATAGCCGTGCCCGCGGTTATGGGCGATCGACCAGATTCACCGTGATTAGTCTCACACCTAATAAATCGACCCAATGCACTGTAGTCTAGGTGGGTTGGTTGGGCCTGTTCAACGTGGTGTAGCGTTGATCAGTGGAGATTTAATGTTACTTTAATTACTCAACAGTTTTACTCTTTTGCTCAATAAAATGTTTTACAACCGCCTTTATGCAAATAGCCACAAACCCCTCCTTGTATCCCCTTGCACGTCTGCATCGTTGGTGTGGCTTGCTGAGTACGGTGGTTGTACTCAGTCTTGCTATTATTCCCCCTTTTCAGAAGTGTAGTGCTTCTGAGCTGAAGATGGAGTTAGAGGACCAAGGCTCAGACCCCAGTTGAGTTTTGCCTGTGGAGTGGAGCTGAAGCCCCGCTAGGATCGCTTTTTTCCGCTGCTGCTGCTTTTGTTTCGGTGTGAGGACTAAATGCCTCTTCTGTAAGTATTTTACGCTTTATTTACGTTTGGAACTGTTTATTACTTGTCGTTTTGTGTACCCTGGCTGGTCCTGGACAGGGATTTAATACACAAAATAGTCTGGAAATTTGGGCTAAATTTCTGGGCGTGACACGGGTCTTCTTCGTCTACTTCGAGCATCGCCGCCGCATCTCCAAGCTACCACTGTCGCCGCATCTCCAAGCTACCACTATCGCCGCTCTAGGCCGGTGGTCCAGCTACCTCTACATGGCTACCGACGTTGCCGTCTAGGCCGTTGGTCCCGCTACTTCGCCATCTTCTTCGTCCAGCATGATTCATCGCCACCGTCGCCGTATCTTCCTCGACTACACTTCGCTCTGCTCCGGAAATTCTCCCTCTACGCCGTTCTCGCGCCGCGACCGTCTTGGAGGCCTTCTCTGCTAGTCTCCTCCGACATTGGCGTATGATTCATGGTGGTCCCCTGTCTCGCCCGCGTGGTATTGGCAACACCGGCGCGCGTGTTCGTCCCGAGTTGTCCTGGGGTCTGGCAAGCCCTGTGTGACGTCTCGTCCTTCATGGTTCGACTACATCGGCTCTTCGGCGTCATCTTCCTCAACTACTGTCGCGATTATGTCACCGTCTTCGTCTCCAGCGCATCCTCGCACACCTTGGTTCACAACGCCCTCCCGTGTGTCCACGACCACTCTACGGCGCCTCATGCGCGCTCTGCGGCTCGGCTACCTCGACATTAGCTTCCCTACTTCGGCTACATCGACCACGGCTCTAGGCTCCTTCGCTCTGGCTACATCGACTATGGCACAAAGGGCTATCATCCGTATTGAGTATTCTTGCTGGTTTCTTCTCCAGTCCAAGTGTCCGCGTTGCTCACGCTTGGACTGCGGGGGGATGTTAGAGTATATGGTAGTTAGAGTCATATTAGGATATGATTGATTTACGTGGACTCCTTCTATATCTGTAATCCTTCTTTATCTCCTCCCATGTACTCCTATATATACCGGCCCCCTAGGCTCAATACAATTATTCCACGTTACACAATATATCTCTCCTATACTATCCAACAATAAACAACGAGTTCACTGGATCTCTCTGTAACTGTCATCCAGTTTGTTGCAAGAAAACTGCTCGGCATAATTTGACGAGAATCCAAGTTTCACCTCATCTTTATGTTGGCGAGCGTCGACACGTGCCAAGCACAACAGTTTGAAATCAGATGCCTCTTGCTGTTCTGCCGGTATGTCCCCATCAGCCGGTCGATTGGCAACAAACAGCTTGCGCTGCATGGCACTGAAGAAGAAGTACCACGTGACGACCTAGGAGCGTTCGTAGGAGTACCACGTGGCGGCTTAGAAGCGTTTGTAGGAAGTTTAATGGACTTTTAGTACATAATAGATACTCCCTCCGTTTTTTAATAGATGACGCCATTGACTTTTTCTCACATGTTTGACCATTCGTTTTATTCAAAAAATTTACGTAATTATAATTTATTTTGTTATGAGTTGTTTTATCACTCATAGTACTTTAAGTGTCATTTATATCTTCTACATTTGCATAAAATTTTTGAATAAGACGAATGGTCAAACATGTGAGAAAAAGTCAACGGCGTCATCTATTAAAAAATGGAGGTAGTATTGTTCTAAAATTATACATGCTACTATACCCAAAGGAAGCTAGGCACCCCCTATTTTTCGGCTGGAGCACCTAGCTAGAGGAAAAATAGGGGGGGTGTCTAGCTTCCTTAGGGTATAGTAGCATGTATAATTTTAAAACAATATTATACTAATAGTTGCATATCCAATGACTATAAACATCATTTCAATAATTGATAGTAATATATACTAAGAAAATGCAAAAAAAAGAGGTTAAAACTTAACTCATTTGCTCTCAAGTTGGGTAGCTGCTGCCAGCTGCGAGTACGGATTAAAAGGTAGCTGGCTGGGGAGGGTGGGAGGCATGCTTGTGAGCTCCAGGATTCCAACCATTGCTGCCTTGCAGGCCGCCGGTGTCATCCCATCTGACAAGGCGCGCAGTAATCAAAGCCCTAACTAAAGATACCATATGTCATCAAGGGCGCGAGGCAAAGCAGCGAAATTGGGAGGGGAGTGGCACGAGAATAGCTAACATTTGGCGGAGGCACGGCGTCACGCGTGCTCGGCAGCGAGAACCTGGCCGCCGCCCAACAAGGCACGACGACGACAAGCGAGACAGCGAGAGCGATGAGGGCTGAAGCGGAACATATCAACAGTGCGCGGAAGACGAAAAGACACCATTTGACCGCTTCACAGCGAGGCTTTCCAGGGGAAGCGTCATGCTCGCGTTGGAATCACAACAAGCCAACGAAGCTTGACGGCTCGCCTATGGGCTTCAGCCAGTGGATGGGCCTTACCTTCTCGGCTACATGCTACCACTCCTAAGCTCCTGGTGGTAGTGGGCCTTGTCAGTTTGGGCCGGACGAGGAGGAGCGGGTTCCTCCGTATGGACGAGAGGGGTGCCTATATGGTGGATGTATGGGGGTAATAGCTGGTTTTTGTTTTTGGGCCGGGTTCCCAGGAACCCCCCCTTGATAACTTGGCTCCGCCCAGTGTGTGTGTCTATATATATATATATATATATATATATATATATATATATATATATATATATATATATATTTCAATAACATAACATCCAGTAAACTGTAACAATACATTTATTTGCTACCTTGGTTCAAACCTCTTACATACACGTACAGAGTAGCTCTATTATACACCCCTCCCTTAGAATAACTATTCTACACCCCCTTCCCCAACAAACTCCCACCCGATCCCACCCTCCCCCCTCTCTCGTCGCGATCCCGCCCTTCCCCCCACTCTCGTCGTGCCCCTCCCTCCTCCCTCTCCCGGCGCGCCCCTTTTTTTTTCTCGATCTCTCTCCCCTCTCCCGGCGCCCTCTCCCTCTCTCTTTTTTCGATCTCTCTCTCTCTCTCTTTTCTCTCTCGATCTCTCTCCCCTCTCCCGGCGCCCTGGTTTTTTTTCTCTCGCCCGTTGGCCTCTCCCCCTCTAATTTTTTTTTCATCTCACCTTCGAAAGAAAATTTAAAATTAAAATGACAAAACTAATTAAGACTTGAACCCATGACCTTACGGTTCAAAGAAATTCTCTATTAACCAATTAACCATATGAAATCTTGTGATTAGACTTTATTGCATCAATTTTATGTCTCTATTCAAGCTTTATGAGAGCAAATCACATATATTGTTGTGAAACTTATAATCTGTTATTATGTTCTAGTAGTAATATTATTGTAAAAGTGCAATAACACGAGTATATAGGCTGTTACTGCAAAAATATATAGGTCGTTACTGTAGTTCTGACAGTAACATCATGTGAATATGGTAGTAACACGGAACATGTATGTAGTAGTAACGATACTTCTACGGACTACGAATGTTGTTACTACGAGCAAGTAATCTTGTTACTACAATATGGTTGTCTTGTTACTGCGCAATTCCTGCGAGACGAGGACACGAAAGAGGTGGGCGTGGAGAGAAGTGAGCAACACAAAAGATACATAATAGCAAACTAAACACAAGTGGATTATTTGAAATTCTAATCTTTAAACAATCATATCTCTCGCATCACATATTATATTTTTGAACCGTCACTACAAGAGGAACCCCCCTCTAGCAGCGAATATATGTGTGGCTAAAGGTCTAAATAAGCGTTGTAAGGTCCAATAGCAACACATTGACTATGTGTTGCCTATGCCGGCGTTGCTAAGGTCTATACGTTGCTACGATCTATAGCCATACATACATAAGCGTTGGTAACGACATAAATAACTGTTGTAAGTGAGCAATAGGATGCAACTGGAAGATACTGTTCACATTTACCAAATACATATTACTTACTTGCCAATTTGTAATTAATAATTTACACTACGATCTTATATAGGTTCCATTTGGACAAGAAAAACTCATAAGTACTATAAGAAAAAAATCACAATATATTAATTCACAAATCTCTTATAAGTACAACTTGTGTATACACCACAGCATATTAGTGAGTGTAGTACAAACATATGTTGAATCTTGCAAAAAAAAAAACATCATCTTGAATTTTCTCTGTGACCAGATCAACATTAGTTTCTGTAACTTGGGCACTTGGCAGCAACAACAATATCTTCTCCTTAGCAATTTCTTCTTCCTCTATCCCATCATCCTCAAGGCAACACTTCACCATAAAATAGATGTCACTGGATTACAGGAAAAGATATGTAATGGCAATGAACATTTAACATCCCATTACAGCTTGGAAAAAATCCGAAGTATGGGTTGGCTTTCCCTGTCAAAAAATTGCACAAACTATCAACAAGATAGCCCAAAACTGCTATACACAATTGGAAATGATTCCAGGTATTTCTAATTAAATGCCAATGTTTCTATTAGTTTATATAGCTCAGATAAGAACACAAAGGGATAACTTATACACCACGACAATTAAACTGCAATGACATATTCCTAGTAAATCTTACCATTGTTCATGTAGCAGAATGAGATCTCAATTTGTCACTTAACAGCCAGAGTTACTCTTTGGATCAAATTATTTGCTTTCACCAATGGCTAAATTTTTGTGCCAAGCATCTTTGGAACCATCCCTGGTTAAGAATTCTCTGCTAATAATTCTTCACACTGAAATAAATGGAACTTGGACATAAGAAAAGCAGAATATTTCTGTGGCATGAATACACTCATCTTTTAGATGATAGAACAGCAACAAACAACTGTCCACATGTTAAATTTATGTATCTGGTAGCAGGTAGTAATTGGCAAAACATAACTTAAACTAATTAAAAAAAGTCGACAATCTGAGCTATGAACTTTATATCTTTTTATGGTTACTCTGCACTGTATAATGATAAAGTTAATAAAAAAGGCATGGTTCATGTCATTACCACATACCAGAGCAGAAAAATAGCCACAAGATTCACTAATCACTTAGCTTACATTGCAATTCCATCGAGAAACTTGGGGCATGATCAATAACTAATAACTAAGTCACTAGGGATCAACCTGCAGAGAAAGAGGGCATCATTACTTGCCTATCGCAGATATAAAGCTCTACAGGATTTAGGTGTGTTTCTTGCAAAATTAACGAAGTATCTAGAGCACACAACAGTCCACGTCAGGGAATAATGATAATTCGTACATTAGAAGCCGCAATCACATACCAGATCAGCTGAGAACAGCAGCGGACGAGATGGAGCACGATGTGGCGGTCCAGGCAACAGGGTCAGGGGATTCAGGGGCCATCGCGATCGGGGCAATGAGGCGGCGGCGTGCCGGTCAGCCGTCGGCGCAGCACGGGAGAGGATAAAGCGGCGACATGCGGGTCGAGGCGGCGCAGCGTCGACGGCAGAACTGGAGGATGCGGCGGGGTCAGGGCAGGGACGAGGCGGCGGTGCTCGGGCCGGGGCGGCGCAGCATTGACACGGCAGCGATCTGGGATCACGATCCTTTTCGATCGGGCGAGGATTGTGAGGGGAGGTTTTTCAGGAAAAGATAATGGTTGGTTGCGTTTCTGTTGACTTGGGTCGCTGGGCGTGGCCGAGTGGTTGAAAGCGGATGCTTAACAACGATTATCACTTCCGTTGCAGCCTATACGTTGGTGGAGGGGTATTCCTGTTGTAGTGCGTTTCCACCATAATGCTTTAAAAAAAGAGCTTTACAAAACTAGATTCGTCAGTACTATATTTTGACAACGTTATAATATTGTTACTGCAAGAAAGTAACCCTGTTACTGTACGATGGTCGTCTTGTTACTGCGCAATTCCTGCGAGACGAGGACAACAAAGAGGTGGACGTGGAGGGAAGTGAGTGGGCGGGTTTGACCGAGGTCTGACCGGCGGGAGGATGCTTTGACCGACCTTTGACCGGGGTGGGAGGGGGGTTTTGGGCCCTAGGGAGGGTGGGGGAGGTGGGTTTGACCCATGGGATGGGGGGTGTAGAATAGTTATTCTAGGGGAGGGGTGTAGAATAGATTCACTATATATATATATATATATATATCAATAACATAACATCTAGTAAACTGTAACAATACATTTATTTGCTAGCTTGGTTCAAACCTCTTACATATACATGCAAATGTATACATACACGTACGTACTAGCAACCAGAGCATGAAATGAGACATGTACTATTAGCTAGTATAGACCCTAGCTAATAATACTTTATTATTGGGCGCATGTAGTACTAGATGTAAATTATTAAGGAGATGTAGGTAGTTTGATGGCGAGCACGATCGATCTCTCTACATCACTTCAATTTGAGAGTTTTGAGGGCACCCAGGCCCGCCATAGTAGATGTAAGTGCCCCAACTGGTGGTACTGGAGGAACCAGTCATGACGTTATAGCAACTGGGCAACGGAGCTATCAAGCCCACACCATTTGGTGGTTTGAGATTGTTGGAGGAATCAACAACTTGGATTGCTCTGCTGTAGGTGGCCTTGCCGAACCCTTCCTCAGGAAAATGTCCACTACCCATGGGTGTGGTAATTTGAGGCGAATTCACCTCCCCACCCCATTCCACACTGTCGGCAACGCCTGTCTGCAGGAGGGTGAAGATGGATGATGGCCAGTAGCCCACATTATTGCCTTGCACTTGCAACCACCAATTGCCCCCCGCTGGGTCCTGCAAATTTATGTATTCATTCGTCATTTACTGGAGGAAGGACAAGATCAATCAGTAGCTAGATGACACAGATTCTCCATGCCCATTCTTGAAGAATTTGATTTTGTATATATGCTTTATTTGAATGTTAAAGGGCTTAATTTTTGTGTACGGTTTACCTTCCAAACTAAATAATCGTACTCATATTGTGTGTCACCATAGGTGGAGACAGGGGATATGCTGCCACCGATGACGAACTGCGGGTTTGTCTGGATGAATCCTGAGCATGCTAGGTTGTAACATCCCGTTTCGTTATATGCATCACGCTACAATATATATTTCATTAGTACCTTTACGCCATCAATTAATTCCCCACCATAATATAACAGGGGCGAAATATTAATTGTTACTAATAATAAAGGAATATATATATCTTACAGTCCAGTAGATGAAGAGTCTAGTTTTGTCATCCCCGTACATAGCTGGGTACACCTGAAACATTGATATGGATAGCTTAGAGCCATCATCGTAAGAGAATATATGCACAAATATTGCAATATTAATGCTTAGTACTCGTACAACAGACGGTGATATTATTAGTAGATAGATATATCCATAAGGCTGGCCACTTATCGAGATTATGTAGTTACATTAATTGTGGCATCCTTATATATATGAAAATTAAACATGGAATCCGTATAAAGTTATCTTCAATGCTAGTTGTAGATAACATGGACATCAGGGCATGCACAAAGATAAGAGCTTGTATGAATGGATTATGCATGGAAATTGCAAGACATGCAGGTAGGACTTAATAGAACTTACTTTTTCCCCTCTGACGCACTTAGAGCGAGTACAATATATAAGTGACATAAGCTGGCTTAAAAAATTACCACATCATACTTATACTTATACTTATGTGAAGGAGAGATAAGAGGAGAGAAAGAAGAAAAGCGAGCTACAGAGTTACACTCAGCTATAGCACTAACTTCAAGTTAGACATTACATGTGTATAGGAGGTGGTCCATATATTAATGATGTAGTGTATGTTTATGCGTAACTATTATACTAATTGGCTCTATGTTAGCTTTTGATGACATAGAATGATTTTGAAGGTAACTAGCTCTTATAAAGATCTTGCTCTTAAGGTGTCACGTACCTGCCATCCTGTTTCAATGGTATTAAGGTCCTTGTTATCATAGGAGCCCGCTGAGATCCATAGTTGGGACAGGCTGAAATCACCAGATGTTGCAATCGTTGGTTGCCACACATTGATGGTCACTTTGGTTCCGTAGTAGTTGGCATCTCCGGTTGCATATGCTACACCATACTGTTCAATGGGAGATTAAATAAGAAAATGTATTTTGAAAAGTATAATAATAATAATAATAATAATAATAATAATAATAATAATAATCCAAGATCAAGGAAGACAAGCTAGTTGTAATATGAGTTGAGGGTGGTACTATACGTAGTGGCCGCTTGTGACACCAGCCAAGTGAGAGTGAGGGTGAGAGCTCATGTCGTGCGTCTTCTTGCCAAACGTTGTAAGAGAGGTGGCCCTCATGACATCCTCCTCCTTGGTCCTTCGGATTGGTATAGTGTTGTCAGGGCACTTTTCGCCGTTCTGATTCCATGTTTGGGTGAATGGACGTGTTGCTTCTCCATATAGGCCACTTGGCTGGCTGGAAGGCTGCATCTGAAACCGGCAGGCATATTACTCGTACGTGAAGATATCATGCATCTAATATATTGACGTACAATTATTTTGTCGTTCGTGAAAACAAGAAGATATCATGCGTATATTATATTATATTGGTGGTGTAGAGTGGAATTAATTATATATGAAGTTAATTCACCTGGATTGTATGGTCCTTGAGGAGAGGATGATCGAATGCAGGCTGTCTGGAGATGTGCACACAGTCTATGATATCTCCATCTGGGCTCTGCATGCACGCAGTTAATTTATGATCATATATATATATATATATATATATATATATATATATGTATGTATGTAGTAATAATTAGCTAATTTGCATGCAACTATATAACCTATATAGGTACCTGAATGGTTGCGAGAGGAGGCTTGTTGAGGCGCTTGAGGACCTGCCGCCGCCTCAAATAAGTAGAAGTAGCATCCGATGGCGACAATAAGCTTGGGAAGATCATAGCCAGCAGGAGGAGCGCCACCAAGCCTCGCCTACTCCACGTCCTCGCTGCTGCCATTGCTGATGCTTAATTAGCTGCAGATGCGGCTTCTTCCATCTCAGATGCATGGCCCTTTTATAGGCCATGGGATCGAGCGTATACGTACGTACACGTACAGGTGCAGTACATGCACGCATGTTCACAATGCAAACGTATCTATTCCCTCCGTCTCTAAATAAATATTTGACGCCGTTGAATTTTTTAAACATATTTGACCGTTCATCTTATTCAAAAACTTTTATAAAATATGTAAAACTATGTGTATACATAAAAATATATTTAACAATGAATCAAATGATAGGAAAAGAATTAATAATTACTAAAATTTTTTGAATAAGACGAACGATCAAACATGTTTAAAAAAGTCAACGACGTCAAATATTCAGGGACGGAGGGAGTAGTAGCCAAAATGTACAAACCACTAGCTAGTAACTTGTTTAAGATGTGGATTTTCATCCCTCGAGGGGAGGTCCTCTTGTTGTTTACATGTCATCTAAATAGTTATTAAAAAATTTGAAAACAATGATAACATAGATTAATACTAAATATATCACTCTACAAGTTGCAACAAAAATAACAAAAATTAAACTGAAAAAAGTTATCGCACATTCGCAACTATATTTGTTATTTTTGTTACAACTTGTATAAGTTGAATTTAAACATGCATGTTTGTCGAGTGATATATTTCATATTAATCTATGTTGCCAAATTTTTCCTTTTTTTTTGACTATTTAGGATATCCTCTCGAGCGATGAAATCACTTTCCCACTTATTTACGTACAACTACGACCGTGCATAATGCACGCGCGTGCAAAAATTTTAAGTCTAGTTTGAATATCCATCACAACTAGCAATCTTTAAGCACTAGATCGATTTCGAGGGCGAAAACGAATAATTATATTTGATTTGCACCTTAATTAATTTCGACAAGTAGTAATTGACCATGCATATATCATATACGTATATATGTATATCGATCAATCCCGTCGGCTAGCTAAGATATGATTAGCACAGTATAGTGTCAGCAGACCATTACTATACATAAATTAATTAATTATAATGTGCTAGCTAGCTAGTGTGTACGTTGGGAACTTGTTATAATCCCGGGACCCCTCCTCCGTTAGCAGTTGCACAGGTGGTTCAAATTGCCATCTGGATAGCATGGTCTCGCACTAGCTTACATTACTAATTAATGCCTCTCGAGTCTATGACATATGCCAGTACTGGTACCTTTGACACATATATGCCACTGGTACCACCCATAGTGCATGTGTCATCACTTATCCAACTTGTAATTACTAGAAGAAAAAGCGCGGCTTCACGCTACGCCCGTCAATGCACACATAGTGATGGTTGAAAGTAACTAAGGCCGCCGTGTTTAGATGCTGTAAAAATTTGGTCAATTTTTTTTAACGTATATGGACACACATTTGAAATATTAAACGTAGACTAATAACAAAATAAATTACAGATTCCGACTGTAAACTGTGACACAAATCTTTTGAGGCTAATTAATCCGTCATTAGCACACGTGGGTTACCGTAGCACTTATGGCTAATTATGACGTAATTAGTCTCAAAAGATTTGTCTCGCAATATATTTACAGTCGGACTGTGCAATTGGTTTTTTCGCACATTTGATGCTTCATATATATGTTCAAACATTGTGACGGAAAAGTTGGAAGTTTGAAAAAAGTTGGAATTTAAACACAGCCTAAATGAGAAATGACAACATATAATTAAATATTCATTCAAGAATAGGCAGGGATCCAACGTCAGACCACTTCAGAATCCTTCGTCAACTTACCCTCCAATGAAGAAAAAAAAAGGGTCAAATTACTAATCCAATTCATTGCATTATATGATGATCACTATATATCGTTTTGTTTTCCAAACAAATACATGGAACTGGACAGCTGATTCAAATACAATAGTTGTGCAAATAATATTCTGTTGAAATTTGGAATTGAGCCACCAAAACATGTTTTGAGAGAAGCCATGTCAACTTTCTTTGTTCTCGTTTTTTTTCCTCAGAACCAACTGCATATATATAAGCTTTAATTACCAAGCTCATGCACATGTCTAATTCACAATTTACGAAGCTGCTGAAAAAAAGAATTCAATATGTTCATGGTTCCTTGCAAGCAACAACCAACTTAGAAAATGATCGGAAATGATGCTATATGTTATTTCTAACATTAATTTTGAACACATAAAAAATATGCTAATTATGTATTCGTGGACGTAGCATTCTCATCAGTCTTTATATCAATTGACATGTGTACCTTTCTCTATGTTTACGGTACTTCCAAAGCAAGTGTATGCTTGCACGTATATATCTAAACTTTGTGGGTTCAAGACTTATCTGTGGTCTGTTCATAAATAAAGATGTGTTTCTCTTATACAGTGTCTTTCCTATTAGTTGAAGATTACTCTTTTGTACACAGTGTATTTATATTTTTTTTTAAAAAAAACTTAGTCGCCTATGTGCAGTGAGATCAACGAATTAGTATACATTATGTAGCTTGTAGTAAAGTGACCGGATTGAAAAGTACATCATTTATTTTCTGTGTTATTTCCCAAAATTATCTTACATTTAGATATTGTTGGGAGAATGGCTCCGCTGCGGTGACAGGTCTTCGAAGGGCATGCAGGGCTTCAAGGAGCCATCCTCCCTAGGGAGATGACCGAGGGTGAATATCACCATGAGGGCTCCGGACGGAGCCCCCCTTCTCGCTCCGGGGACAACCAAGGGTTCCGGAGAACAGTCACGGCTTCAGAGGCTGCCCCGAGCTCCGGAGCCAGATGAGGCTACGGAGGCCTCGTCTGGAGCTCCGGAGACGGCCAAGGACTCCGAGACACCCGTGCCCTCCAGAGCCATGCGAGGGCTCCGGAGGCCGGAGGGGGCTTCCGGAGCTAACAGCGTGGCCCGGAGGGAATCAAGACTCAATACGCCCGACGGCCCAAATTCAAGGACCAGGCACTAGTGGGTTCGCATAAATGCGCACTACGCACCCCAACTACTTTGACACTGTGCATGACGCAGAGATGGTGCACGCTATTACCCGGAGCATGCCTTTACCCGGGTAATAGCTGGCTACCTCAGGAATCGGCGATGTTCCCTTAATGGGCGCCTCCCTCCTGCCACCTAGAGAAATACTAATAGACCAAGAGGCTGGCCCACCGGCCAACCACTTTAGATTCACTATAGGCTAGGGGCATTAAGGGAATTTCCTCTTGTATACCCTTGTATAAATATGTAAACGTCGCTCACAGTTGGGCAAATTGAATACAGAGGCAATACACATACACCTGTTGAGTTTTGTCCCAACAAGAGGCATCAGGCATGATGTATCCCCCCCCCCCCCCGGCCCCAACAAGACCCAATTTATAACTATACTGGTTTGATTTGGTGTAATTCAACCACTGTTATGCACACCAACTTAATTTAGGATGTGTCGTATCCCATTCTAAGTTCAATTTTTATGGGAAGGATGGAGTAGGACAGAACAGGCTCCTCTTTAGCTATTGGCAGTGACGCTGACCGAAACATTCATGAACAACACGTTCGCTGTGTTCTCGGAGGCCTTCTAGTCCTAGCTAGTTGTGAGATCTGATTGTTGCTGTTGTGGATAATGAAAGACACAGGATAAGTCAAGTGAACAGGATATGCTAGTAGGAGGGATTAGGAATGAAAAAAAGTAGTGCTTCGACAGGAAACAAAAATATGAGCTGAGAACAAAATCAAGAACAACCTGAAGTCTGGCCACAACAGAATCCTAAAATCTTCTGATAAAAAAAACAGAATCCTAAAATCAACAATATCCCAAATCAGGAATAAATCAAGAACACAGAAAAATCAAACCGTCGTCGGCTGCGCCCACCCCCAAACCGTCGTCATTGCTGCCTTCACTCCGTGTAGCCATGGACCATCTGCTGGGGAGGTAGAGTAGCCTTCACCGTAGCTCGCCAAGGAGGGAGATGCTGCCACTGGATCCACCCAATGGTGAGGCCCCGACGTATCTGCACGAGCGAGCCCCTGCTGCCGATAGATCCGCATGAGCGAGCCACAGCTGTCACCAGATTCCACGCGCGAGCCGCTGTTGCTGCACACCACCGAGGGGCCTGCGCCGCTGCGCGCTGCCACCAAGTGTAGTTGCTCTATTTTATTTCCCTCGTGCCTAGTTTGCAACTTAATTTTCTCCCATGTTTTAAGTTTGTTGGGCAAAAGTCTTTTCCTTGAATTTGAAACTTCTGGGTTGCAAGTGCATGATGTGAATCTAAGTTGTTGTGGGATATAAGGTAGTGAAATAAAGATGCTATGATCTTATTTTCGAGTGAAACTTGACATCCAGAGCTTTTATCTTGAAAATAATGAAAAATGATAAGTTCCTCATTGATGATAAATTCCAACGAGAGCCATGTGATGAGTATAGTGCAAAACATTTAGACATATGTTATTTGTTATTACAATGAACTTTGTCAATTTCTTATAACTGTTGTGTGATGTTTTTCCTGCTTTCATCATTAAGATAACGTACATCCACCATATATGCTCAACCTCTAGGGGTTAGCAAAAGCATGCCACCAAATAAAGTACTCCATAGATTGATCAAAATGTCTCCCCTAGTACTTTGCAAAAGTGGTGGTTATGGAAGAAAAAAAATAAAAAGAGATAGCAAGGAAAATAATCTCAAGCATCATTAAAAAAAAAAGAGAAAGAAAGAACATAGAAGAAGGATAGCCATGTTTCCCATGTAGATACAAATGAGGGCATTAGAAAAGGAGTACTATCAAATACCCACACACATGAACAACCGCACACTTGCACATCTTGATCTGATTGTATTACTTTTTCCCTCCTTAAACCAGTTTTTGATTTTACATTATATATGATGCAAGTAATGCCTCATATATTTCCCTTACTTTGAGCTCCACATAATCCTTTTAGAAGTAGAATAAAAAGAGGCAACACTATGCCTTGGTGAGGATTTATACACATTGAGTGATCTAAGAGCATCACTTCAGGAACTTTGATCTTGTTTTGCATAATTCCTGAAAAAAATATCTGAAAAGAAAGTTGATCATAGAGTAAGTGAATGATATTCTACAAACTATTATGTCCTTCAACTAACCAAGATGAAGAGAAGCTAACGATATTATTGTCAACTTGTTCAATTCATGGTCAAAGATTATGTTGTAGGCATGGTATCTTTGAGAAATAAAACATTGTAACTCTTGATGAATTGAACTTAGGCTTTATCTTTACTCAGGATGAGGAAAGGTTTAGCTTGCATGAGTATTTATTAGTTTCAAAAAATGTAGTTCCACTTGTCCTTGGACAATATTATGAACGTAGGGATTACTTATAAAATGAAGGAGAAAATGAGCAGCTATAAAAGGAGGAGAAGCTCTCACACTCAAAGCACACACTTGGAAAGCAACCTCTCTCTCGTTTATATTGCTCTCTAGATTAGTGGAGTTTAGGCTTAGAGTTTTTTTTTTCTTAATTTGGTTTCCAAGCCTTCTTGGATATTCGGGTAAGTCTCTAGTACTCTTGTCTCGTTGTAAGACTTTGAGCTTAGTAATGAAGTCAAGTTCTTTATTTACCGGTGTTCGTAGTTCATATATTACTCTTTTTGTCACCGATGATACACATCTTTGTTAGGTGTAATTATCAAGCCATCACCGATGATCTTCCATGACGGGTGGTAAAACATCCCATCAACGGTGACAACATCACCTTGGCTGGGTTGAAGTTGGAGCCCGTCACCAACAACACGTCCGCCATGGGCTGAAAAACTTATGTGTGACAGGTGGGAGTTGGGACCCTACAAATATTTCTATCATCGGTGACAGCTATTCGCCCGACATAGATGAGTTTTTCAAATCAGTGACCACTAATCAATGACCACGCACTTTGCCGACAATAATGTGGGTTCCAATCCATTACGGATGATTGGTTCTATAGTCGTCTGACTAATCAGCTTGCTGGCTTGCTGTGGATGACAAGCTTTATTGTGCTGGTAAGAGGATACACAAATGCAAAGACTTCAAACGTGTCACATAATGCCCTTTCTAGACATAGGGATATCTTATGGTTGTCCATCAAAAGAAGCCATACTTTTTAGTGTTAATTTGTAATAACCGGAATATGCATGTTGGAATAAAACAACATATACAATTAGAGTCGAAGTTACATATAGAGATATATAGGAATATATATAGTATGAGTGCCTAATCTGCTACTGAAGCTAATGCATTAAAGACTCATTCAACATGCAGCAGGGGCGGAATCAGCCAACCAACATCTAAATACAAATAAAATCACATCAGATTACATCGGCCTTAACATCTAGGCCCCGAGCCACAGTGTTACATTTCAATTATTCATGTCTAACTGTAAAACTTTAGCTCATGTAAATGCTATTCTCTTGGAAATTCAAATAATTCTAAAAAACATTACTCTGCTAGCTAGTACCATGTAGAAGCTGTGCGTGCTTCATGTGTCACCACACACGCACGCAGCTATACCGCTGCTAGCTGCTATTGCCATGGCACACATCACCACCCAGCATAGCCCCTAGGCTAGCTCTAAGTGCTCTACCTTGTGCCAACTGAGCCGACACCTGAGATCCCCTTCACCATGGCTGCACCTGCCATACAGGATTGCAGTGTCTAGGGCTAGTGGCATGGCACTCAAGAGGTTGCCTCCAGAAGTCCTGATGGCTAAGACCGTTGTGAAGAAAGCTTTGTCAGTAGCATGCCTCCTATTCCAATATTGGAAATTAAGATGTTCATGTACAATTTTAACTTTGCAAAATATACTTCGCATATTCACTAGAATTAACACTATTGGATGGTGTGACATTATAAACCAGGCCAGCATCAAGCATGTTTCTCCTGTCTGAGCTCTCCAGGATTTCTATATTGCAAGGCATGAGACATACCATGCTTCCATTTTACAGCAATGGTGCCAGCTGTTGTTCTTTATCTTTGGTGAAAATTTATTCTACTCAATCGACTGTTGTTCTATAGAAAGTTCAAATAATGCTCAAAACATTATTCTACTAGTACCAAGGGTGGTAAGAGTCCTGATGCATATCTTGGCAGCTACCACTGTTGCTAATGCCGTGGCATCTCTGGCGCAAGTATCACCAGCCAGACTAGCCCCTTGGCAACTCCACTACAACATGCCAACCGATCGAATGATTTCAACTAAATTCTCAGGATAGCCACTGGTCCACCCAGGATCACACTGTCTAGGGCCAGTGACATGGTACACAAGAGGTTGCCTCTGTATGAATATGATCGTCAAGAAAGCTTTGTCCTTAGCACATTGCATACTTCTCCTATGCCTCCTATTCCTATACTAGCTCCACTGGATGGTTATAATAGTTATGACTCGCGAGATGTCATGTGCCATATATTGTAATAACTTTGTAAATGACACTTCATATTCACTAGCTAGCAATGCGAATACTGGATGGTCTGGGAGTGTCGCATCTCTCCAGGAGATCCAATGCTTCCATTTCATAGTACTCCCTCCGTTTCAAAATAAGTACAGTTTTGCACTATTCATCTTCAACATTTGACCGTTTGTTTTATTTGAAATTTTTTTATGATTACTATTTTTATTGTTATTAGATGATAAAACATAAATAGTACTTTATGTGTCACTAACTTTTTAAAAAAAATTGCATAAATTTTTTAAATAAGACGGACGGTCAAACGTTAGACACGGATTTTCATAGCTACATTTATTTTGGGACGAAGGTAGTAGACAGCAGTGATGTCAGCTCAGCTGCTCAACACGGTGCCTGGCATTTTTCTGTGCTGATGTACTACACTCCTGTACTATCTGACACTGCCACTTCCCTGATACACCAGCCTAGCCGAGCAGACGGTCTCAGCTAAGCACAGCCTTGGAGCTGAGGCACATTCTACGGGAGCTGCAGCCAATGTCACTGATGTGGGACCGAATAGACCCTCCATACGTCTTAGGTGCTAGGCAGAACAAACATTCACGAGCAGCACTTTGTTGAGCTTCATGATGCCTCCTAACCCCTAATTGTGCACTTGTGCTGCTGGCTCTAGGGAAGGAAGTAGTAAGCTCTCAGTGCTCCTAATGCAGAAAATAAAAGACAAGATATATGTCAAGCTCAATGCTCTGAAAATTTGATGACGATATTATAAATCCACTTCAAGCTTTCCCCAAGGTTGGCAGCTGGCCTTTTTCTGGATTCTGGATGCCTCCAACTCAAGCATGTATTATTTCGATGGTGTGGCACACATGAGCATGTATATTGCCTCTCTGTAGGGCTGGTTAGCTAACGTTCTATAGAAACAGGGCATGAGGCATCCCTGCTCTCCCAATTTATAGTGGGGAGTTCCAACTGAAATGAAATTGATGTGCACATGGCTACATTGAAAATTTGTGTTTGCTCGTTTACCTGTGTTTGTGCTGTGAGAGATTAAACCAATTAATACTGTTCGTCCAACACCAGAAAGAAAGGAGGCAAATTGCATAACCATTTGAATTGTCGCTTGTTTTGAAATTCCTCCAGAAGTCAATTTGTTGAAATGGCCCACCCACCCAACCCCTCCGCGCACGTTAATAGCAGTGTCAGCATGTATGGCTCTGTTTAGATCCCGTGGCAAAAATTTTCACCCTGTCACAACGAATGTTTGGACACATGTATGGAGTATTAAATATAAACGAAAAAAATAACTAATTACACATATTGCTTGTAAAGGGCGAGATGGATCTTCTAAACCTAATTGCTCCATGATCTGACAATATGGTGATACAGTAAACATTTGCTAATGAGGAATTAATTAGGCTTAATAAATTCGTCTCGCAGTTTACAGGCGGATTCTGTAATTCGTTCTATTATTAGTCTACGTTTAATACTTCAAATGTAATGTGTACCCCTAAGGGACTCATGTGTAAATAAATTTCTATAGGCGGTCCTCCTTAGGAACAGCTGATGAAAATCAATTTCTAGAGATGGCTCTACGCCTGTATATGGAAATGTCTTTATTTGTGCATGTGCTTGGTTAGAGGCAAGCGGCTAAACCATCTCTTGCAATCGATGCTAACCTTCTAGAAAAAAATGTTGTCCGTGCAGTAGTGAATTCGGCCAAGTAGATGAAAATGGGATTCCATGGTTGTCCATTAAAGCAGTGGTACATACACAGAGCAAGTGCTGCAGCAGTAAACAGTGCAGTATTGTCAACCCCTATGAACTCGACCCTTGAAGAAAACCAGTGGCCTTGTCCTTGCTCTTGTGCACGTCAAATAAATCCTTAAAAGTGAAGAATAAATTGTTTAATAATTCAGAGGGGCCTAATACTGAGTTCAAGAGTTGAAGGGTAGGGTTTATTTTAAAAGAAAAAAACAAGCATGACAGTGATAGGTAGGGAGTAGATATGCCCGACTCCTCTCTTACTTATTCTTATTATCAGTTACATCATCAGATGAAAAGGAAGTAATTAAGGTGATTAGTTAGCCATATGCTTCGTGATTTGCAGATCACGAATCAGAAAGAGGAACTGAGGTGGAATTCCTCCTCGTCGCTGCCAGATGGAATCAGGCAATCGTCAAGGAAGGCGAAGGGAGGAATCCAATTTCCTCATGATGCCGCGTCTTGTGGTGAATTGCGGGAATGGCTTGAGGACGAGGTGTGGCAGTGAGGTTGCGGTATCCAGATCTTGATGCAGGAGGAGGGCGGCGCACACGGAGAACACCGTCGGCACGGAGAACTAATGTGCCCCTCTCTCTCTCTCTCTTCTCGTTCACATTTATACGTGAGCTGTTTTAGCGCCCTCAAGAAGGGTATAAAAATGTGATAGTTTTTAATTTACCTAAAAAGACTTGGTAACTTCTGAAGCGATGGAAAATTTTCTTTACAGGTTTGCCAAACCATATTCGAATGAAAATTGATGGCAAAATTTTACAAGTTTCTAGCCTTTTGATCTGCTCCGTCATCAATGCCCTAGTGGGTTGCTCCTTCTCCCATGACCATCCTTAGCGACATCATTTGTAGTGATAACCCCAACAAGTTTCGATTTTGGGTTGGCGTTAGAGCTAGGGTGAAGCTCCCAGGGTTTAGAGCGAGGCTAGGGCGGCAGTGGGCTGTGGAATCCAGGAAAGATGAGGCATGGCAGTGGCACCGTCACTAATGGTGGGATGGGAGAGCGGATGCATGAGGCCAACATCAGTGACGAAGAGAAAGACCGTATTTAGGAGGCTGCTAGCAGTGGTGCTAGCGTCTCTTGCAGCTATCCTCGCCACAGACGGGGAAGAAGGCGACGCGAGGGCAAGGGAGGAGATGAATTAAGAATACGCATCACTCTCCCATGCATTCCTCGTCCCCCTGTCTCACTGATGAGATGCCAATACACGGTGGCCAATGTTAACAGAGAAGTAGCGCAACCATGAGAGGGGAAGGGGTTGTCGATGGCGTCCACAAAAACCCCGATGAGTCAGAGAAGAATGGGAGAGACATGATACTTTGGTCAGCTTCACCAAAGAAAACATGGAAAATCCTTTAATTGAGAAGAAACGAAACAAAGGGCATCGTAGCGTGTTGGCTAGGTTTAGGAGTGGCATTTAGTCGAATCCCAAATACAGAATGTCATCCTAGCAACACCCCCTTACCGATGGTGGCATAATATTAAATTTCCATATCGTGCTTGTCCCGAAGACATATTCACTGCTCTGTGCGCGTGCCTCATAGGTGCTGGAATACTGTTTGGCTGCGGAACACACACGCCCTGCTGCTTGCCTGATCAGTCGGCAATGCTAAGCATAGCAGACAGACTCCACAAAGCCTGGTACCAGGACAGAAAGAACGAGTTTCCACACAGCAGCATCGATGGGCACTGCCATGGTACAGAAGATGCAGGTCTGTCTTAGTTCATGGAAGTGACCCTCAAGAAACATTCGTGAGCAGCACATGGTTGTGTTCCACGAGGCCTCCTATCCCTAGTTGTGATGTTTTCACTCGGAATAAGCTAAGTGAGCTATGAAGGTGGCTAGATTAATAATGGTCTATCAATTGGATGGTGTCATATAAGTGTCAGCGTATGTATATGGGACCACCTATACATTTGTCGACAAATTTTTTACTAAAAATTTGACAGATGTAATTATAGTATAATCGTAGTGTAATTACACTGTAACTTGTATGTAATTACACTGTAACTTGCATGTAACTACAGTGTAACTTGTATGTAAGTTTCACGTAATTTTGAATTGTTAGATCTATTACAAGATTTGTTCTGGTGGGGAAGAAAAAAATCACAGCACACACATATGTGAAAAGATTTGTTCCCACGACCTCTATTTTACTGAAATAACATGTTACCGAGAGATTCTTGAAAGTTACATACAAGTTACATTATAGTTACAGTGTAATTACATGTAAGTTACAGTGTAATTACACTACGATTGTACTGTAATTACATCTGACAAATATTAAGGGGAGAAATTTGATGATAAATATATAGCAAAATCGTATGTATATATCTCTTTAATCTGTAACGCAAAGGTTCACAGGCCGTCTTTTGTATTAAACAGGCCAGCTTGATCTCGTCCAATTCAGAAGCCCCAACCACCCCAACTTATTCTTATTCACTGTGTTGGAACAAGGGTCCTTTTGGGTTTGAGAATCCAAAAGGCAATTGTGATCAGGAAAACATGGCAGCAGATTTATTTTTGCAAAGCACTTATAGATCAAAAGAGTAAAAATGTACAGGTGCGACGCACATGAATTAATTAATACAATAGGAGAAAGAAATCCAGGGAGTTAGAAATTAATCTGTCAACTAATATCATAACAATCCAGGGAGTTAGAAATCTGTCAACTAATATCATGTTATGCACATAGATTTTCATAGTAGTTCTACCAAAAGATGAGACTTTTTTGTGCTCGTTTCCAATTGGTATAAAATAAGTAGGTCGAAATAAAACAAACATGTATAATTTCAGTTCAAGTTTATAGCAATCAAGTACGACATCCTAAATTACTACTAAACCTAATTAAGACTCATTCAGTCGGCAGCTACTTTACCCTGAACTCTAGTAAGCGCGAACGTGAATGCAAGGTGTGGCGGCATTAATTGCAGGCAACGAGCACACCACCTGCTATCAGCTATGGTAGTGTTTGGTTTGGGGACCAAGTGGGATGGGTTAGATCTATCCCTTTTTTTAGGATGGGATGGTTCCAGTTGTGTGTTTGGTTTGTGGTATAGGATGGTTATAGTTTTTTGTTTGGTAGAAGGGATTGAGGTGGGATGGGATGGACAGTGTTTCACGGACCGTTAGAATGGGGGACGGAGGAGCAGGTCGGCGCGAGCGAAGGAGAGGCAGCGCCGCAGCGGAGCCGAGCGGGAGGCGGCGGGAGCTGACGACGAGCGGCGGCGGCCGGTCGCGGAGGCGGTCGCGGACGAGGCGGAGGCGGGCGCGGAGACGAGGCGAGGAGCGGTCGAGCGGCGGCGGCCGGTCGCGGATGAGGCGGCGGACGTGGCAGAGAGAGCAGGCGGGGGAGGGATGGGTGGCCGTGGCGGAGTCGAGTGGGAGGCGGCGGGAGCTAACGACGAGCGGCGGCGGCCGGTCGCGGACGAGGCGGAGGCGGGCGCGGAGACGAGGCGAGGAGCAGTCGAGCGGCGGGGGCCGGTCGCGGATGAGGCGGCGGATGAGGCGGCGGACGCGGTGGAGAGAACAGGCGGAGGAGGACGGAGCGGCGCCGGGAGAGGGAGCAGGCGGAGGAGGGACGGGCGGCCGTGGCGGCGCCGCGGCGGAGCTGAGCGGGAGGCGGTGGGAGCTGATGACGAGCGGCGGCGGCCGGTCGCGGAGACGGTTGCGGATGAGGCGGCGGCCGGTCGCGGACGCAGAGGAGGACGGAGCGGCGCCGGGGGAGGGAGCAGGCGGAGGAGGACGGAGCGGCGCCGGGGGAGGGAGCAGGCGGAGGAGGGACGGGCGGCCGTGGCGGCGCCGCGGCGGAGCCGAGCGGGAGCAGACGCCGTTCTCTCCGTCGAAGTGGGATGGATTGGTCCGGCCGATTTTGGCGGACCGTTTCGTCCCGGATCTGGGAGGAATATTCCTCTCCAGGGACCATCCCATCCCACTCACCTCTCAACCAAACACCTCTAAAAGTGGGTTCATCCCATCCCATCCCATCCCATCCTCTCAACCAAACACTACCATAGGTTCAACGTGGCGTTGCACCACCGCCGCCCAACATCACAGCACAAGCCACTTTGGTCAGACTCGCCCCGCCAGTGCTGCCGCAGCAGCCTCAGGTGGCGTTCACAAGCGCAAGCTCAGGGATCGGCTTCGCCCTTCGCTCCACCGTACCCGAGCCTTTTGACTCAACTACCCAAAGTGCCCCCGGCTCCCATCCGATGGCCTAATCAGCCAAAGAAAAAACCAAAATTTGAATTTTGAAACTTAATTTTGAGATTGATTTTGAGATATTTTCAACGTAGTTTCTTTTACAACATTGGCTTTTAAGTCACCAAGAACACATTAATAAAAGTTTCATCTACAAATTCATTTTTATTTTCTAATAAGCCGTTTTGGCTTATTAGAAAATAAGCCAAACGATGGGGACCCCCGACAATTCTGGGAGATGAAAAGAAGCTACCGTTGAGCTGGCGACTGTGAAATCATCCCAGTCCACTCCAATTCAAGTACCCGACCATTACCAGGTACACGGGCAATTCGGACCCAAGCAGGTTCCTTTCAATTTATGAATCAGCAATCGAGGTGGCATGTGGGGAAGAAAATACTAAGGCAAGCGTTATACACCTCGCCTTAGACGGTTTTGCTAGGTCTTGTTCTGTCGACCTCCTGACAAGCAGTGGATACTCGTGGAAACATCTGAGACATGTGCTCATTTGAAACTTTTGGGGGACTTACAAAGAGCCCAATATCCAACAGGAACTGTTCGGAATTCGGCAGAAGCCTAATGAATCGACACGAGAGTTCGTGCGAAAGGTTTTCTCAAACCAGGTGCCAAGTCCAGTACTATGACTGGCTACATATAAGTGCACCACCCATCAATGGTACCATACATCTTTCTCGGGTTGCACAATATTAACCCATCACAAATATGGAAAATGACCGAAAGGAGAGATGAAAAAAGCATAGTCCTAGCCCCAAGCTCATAGCGATGTTACACGCGAAGAAACTAATGCAACAAGTTTGCATTTTGTTTGCGCAGATCTACACAAACAAAAGATCAATACAGAGATAAACATAGTTTGTGAACATCTACACAAGATTCAGCAACATACACCATCTCAAATTTGAGAGCATTCAGTATATTGGCACATCCACACTAGGTGACCATTGTACAATCTGATGCCTCCTATCTAGTCCTACTATTGGAAGTTGGAAGATTATGATGGTGGTGAGATATATATCAGGTGTCAGATCCTACTAGTAATGCCGGTAAGATGATGATTATGAGATTTCTACCAGTGTAGAAGATAATTGAAAATGAGCTAATTTTTTTTTTGCGGGGAGAAAATGAGCTAATTAACATTGGTTACTGATCAACATTGTGCAGTATAACCATGATGTACTTTCCTCTCCATGCAAGCCGAGCCACCAGACTTATGTACAGGAGGCAAATTTAGAATTGAGTCCCCATCCCCCCAACCTCCACCACCACCACCCACATACGCACACACACATGAATTAAAAAAAAGGGGTGTGAGCTAAAAAGTGATTTATTTAGTCCGGTTCACTTACCATGCTCATGGTTACGTTTTCAATTGTTGTATGAGAAAATGAACAAAAACATGTCCAATAAAAGGATTGAGTTCTAGAAAGTAGAAACTGGTATGATCGGCC